GCGTAGTAAAAAGTACTGTAGAAAACCGTTCAAAGCTTTTTGTTCGCCAAGTGACAGAGCGCAAAATTCCGCGATAGTACCAACTCAACTTTTAATTGGAGGCAGACAGCACTACCCTTCAACAATACAGTCTAAGTCCGTTAGTATAATTTATCAGGCGGCGGGGTTACAGGTCAATCCAGTATAAAGCCGGGACTCCAATTGACTCGAGCGAGACTTAGTCGCACTCACAATAGGGTCAACGAGAGTCAATCGCTAAATCGAATAGTTAACTCAAATGTTGCTCGCCTAACGCCAATGAGGTTTGTCACGCATGGCATTCATCTAGAATATGTTATTACCCCTCACTAGGCTGGGAGCGAATGAATGACATATCATAGTTATCATGAACTACTAATTTCCCCGCGCTTCAAGTAAAATTCAATCCTTGTACAACAAGGTAGTTTCGGGAACGACCACCAACTAACAGTTAAGAGAACGTCGTGGAACTATTATTTCCAGTAAACAATTTAAACCACAGCTAAAGGTTTAAATACAGTATTTCTGTTTCAAGCTATTGCACCGTTAATGCTCTGCCAACCCAGCAGGGGATATAAGTAGGTTTGCCCGACGCCCGGATAAATGCAGGCACGGGCTTTTTGGATGCTTATCCGAACAAATGATATAACCTTTAAAAGTTAAAATCACAAAAGTAAGATACTTTTTCATTATATTTTATAACTTATTCCATAAGTTAAATGTAAAATAAGAAGTGTAATATCATTAATTATAAGTGACTTCACGAGTTATCTCATATTGATCTCATTTTTCAATTTGACGACTCTGTTTATAATATAGGGAGAGAAAAATTGCCCTTGCTGAGTTTCTTGCCGGTTCTTCTCAGTACAAGATCTCCCGCCGGAGATTTGCGAACCGACGGCGTAGCTTTTCGACATTACAGGTGCTTGTAACGGCCTAGACTAATTTAAATAATGAGACATTCCTATCTTCTTATAATACAATATAAGATAGAAATGTCTGATTATTTAAAGTGTCCCGTATTTATCCTATTGCCCGCCTAAAAGGGGCAGGTTCTGATTCAAAGACCATACCAACTCTAGACGTGATGCGTTTGTTTGCATATATTTATCACTAGCGGCCCGCCCTCGCTTCGCTTCGCGCTTTAGAGCTGAAGTGTAGACTACAGTTTTTGTTCTCAGGCTTGTATTATACACAATGACATTCATCTATGATTCTTCTTATACCTGCATGCAAAGTCTCAGCCCGATCGGTTTAAAATTGACAAAGTTTCATACAAACTTTCATTCCCTATTTTATCCCCTTGGGGGTAGAATTGATCGAAATCCTTTCTTAGCGGATGCCTACGTTATAACATTTACCTGCATGCCAAATTTCAGCCCGATCCGTCCAGTGGTTTGGGTTGGGCTGTGCGTTGATAGATCACTATGTCAGGCAGTCACCTTTGAGTTTTATATTTTATATATAAATATATATAGATTTAAAGCTCTGTTAAAGTACCAAAACACTGACCACTAACGCATGGGAATAAGTTAAGCCTTTACACTTCGATCGCTACCCGCCGGCGACCGCGCGGCTTCTGTCGAGCAGAGAGCATAAATACACGGCGACCCGCCCCAAGTTTAACAACACAATCGCCTCGCCGCGCCGCTGCCGCTGCCGTTGACTTTTAACAGGAAGTGTGTGTTTTATTGTACATTTTCATCAAGTTTCCTTCCTCACCCGGAAGCGGAATTCGTTGAGTCGAATGTAATACTTCTGCGTAGGTTCCCAAAGTTTTTTTCTCAAATACCACTTTCAAAATTTTCTTGGCTTCGCTGACTGTTTCTCTCGAGCTTGTAGGGGGTTTTAACTTGATTACCCTAGATGTGACGTTATTGTTTGCACAATATATTTATCGTTTAAAGCTCTATTAACATACCACAATCCAGTGACTAATCGCGAGGGAATTAGATAAGTCTCATTTTCCTTTCTCGCCACTGAAACTCTTATCTCGTAGATCCCTTCAAAGTTTGACTGGTTTCGGTTTGATGCAACATTTCTACCACATTCCCTAAACTCATCAAAAGGAGTTAAGGTTAGATCTAACGATGGCAATTTGTAACGCGGTTGAGACCCCAGGGGGTCCATGTGGACCATATTGGAAATCACTGACTACAAGGCTATGCAGTCCGCTTATAAACAGATTTTCTCTAACCAATAAATCATAAAGGGTTCTACTGTAGAAAGTCGGGTTGACTTGGCTTAATAATTCTTACGAGATAGAAATAGTACGTTTTGTAAGTATGCCATTCGAGAGTTGAGTACTGCCAAAACGTAAACGGAAAAGACTACGCTGTATAATGAAACTCCTAGTAGATAGCCGGAAGATAAAAGCAGCCTTTGCAATTTATTAATTAAACCAACAGCAACGGTACGCAAGCTAGGACGCCGAGCCTTTTTACACGCCAAACGATTCGTAAACACGTATAAAAGAGTCCCGGCACCATGAATTATTTATCCCGCCGCCCGCCGGAATTATTCACGCTGGCTCTATCCCGAAGGACTGCACTGCACGCCTCTAGTGATGTACCGCAACGCCGTATACGTGACGACGTGTGTCGATGAGTCGATGTACCACAGCACGCAATATTATAAATGATTTATTTGCGGTGAAGTTTAGTTCGTTTGTATTGTTCGCTTTGGTCGATGGAAATTTGTCTATAATAGTATTTTTATTGAGAAACCTTGCTTTTATAGCCGAATGTCACAATTATTAGTTTTCTATTCTTCGTATTTTCACGTCTCCTAGTAGCCGTAAAAAGTATTATAATGAAACTTATTATAAAAATTTAAGATTGGATACAAGTATAGAAAACGTTTCATTAAGTGAAGTCCCGTGTGATGTTGTGGCGGCGACATCTACAAGCCCCTTATGTAACTAACATGGAGGAAATCATCACTCGCCTCCTCAAGAGATGATCTGCGCTGTGATCACAATAGTATGGAAGCCTACATCGCGCAAGTGAAATTCGGAGGCTAACACTCCATATATACAATGCCCGACCAACATCAGTCAGGCCGCGGCTACCATCACCCAGCTCGGAGGAAGATCTTCCCTTTGGCCTTCCTACAATGTTGTGGCCGACTGTTATCGTAGCTGAAACTTAAACCTATAACCATAACCGATAGCTGCTGACCCATAGTAGGACCATTTCCTTCTTTCCATACTTTTTGAATAGCGCAACAAAACTATTTAAAAAAAAAACGGTATACTTCGATATTACCGTTGAAACATCACAACGATGAAGACTGCGGGCTGAAAGTTTCTTGGTGATTAGCAGTAGAGAGCCGTTTTATCGTACACATCTACGACAGAGGTACATATATTTATATGAAACGAGCCACCCGCACCCTTCTCTCCACCCACCCGTTTTACCGCGCTGCACTGATTTGCATGTCATCCGCGCTGAAAGTTGGTCTATATCTGAATTGCATCGTCATTTAATTTGCAACTTATTTCTATGAATGCTGGTATCCAATTTTGTGATTGCGAATTCGGCTCTCCATATGAAACTTTGTGTAAATGAAATCAACTTTTCCATAAGGAACATTATGAAGGATAGTTAGAGAATGTACTTATTGTGGACCATGGCCACCCCATCAGCCCTCGTAGAGGTAGCTACACTATATTTTCTATTTTTCGTCTGCTTCCTATATATATATATATAATTAATAATCCATTAATCACAAACCCTGTGTATCGATCGTATCCATTATACGACACGTCGTTATTAATATTAGGCTTGACGTAAAAAGCACACGGTTTACTGGTGACATCGACGCCAATTCACTAATCACGGCTCGTGGATCGCGTCGGCCGCCCGACGAGCGATAGCGATCGCGCGTGATCCGGTGCGGTTGCGGCCCGATGTTCCCACCGCTCGAATCGAATAGGCAGCCCGCGTAGACGGAGGAATGTTTAGAAGAGGCATGATTAATCTATTTAGAGCCTGCGCTGCCTCGGGGCAGCGGCAACGCTAGGCGTCGGCGACGTCGGCCACCGCCGACGGCCTCGCGCCTGTGGGGGCTTCGCAAAAAATTTTAACGTTACCTATTTATTTTCGTTTCTCCTGGCCTGGCTTAGGTAGCCGACCGCGAACAATTCGGGGGAAAAGCTAAGCAGATGATAATGACTTTTATTATTTTCTAACACGTGCGTGATGGAAGCGAGTAGTACTATACGGGTATTCAGAATCGTCTGTCTGGCAACACTATTATTGTAATTAAATTTCTATGTTTGTAATTATTTTTTGTCATCATTTGATTATCAACAATAAAACTCTTTTACTCATACGTTGTTTTATAATTTGGCTCATTTAATTTAACGGTTTTTTACTGCGAAGTAAAATAGGCCTCGCGAACTTAATGTCGCCGACGTCCACATGTGGTCTAGCGCCGCCACTGCCTCGGGGTACGGAGCGGGCGTCCCCTCGGAGTGCAGTTTTTATGTCATTTTATAGAGAGCCGAGGCACGGAAGATCCGCTTCACGCAACGCCGCTCTTATGAAATAACATGAAACAAACACGCCGAGCGGATTCCCGCTCCGTGCCCCGGTTAAGTAAGCGCACGCTCTTAAATAGTGATGCTGTTAGTAATAGCCAGTTTTACAGATGCAAGAACCAAAGATTATATTAAGACTGTTAAACGATACTGTAGTGTAGTATATTCTGTTGCAATATCTCGTGTGAATAGTAAGAGTATGTTTGTTTTTAGAAATGCACATTCTTTAGTCTTTTTGTTGTTTAAATAAATCTTGACTCGATTTACAGCTTATCATCTTAAAGGGTTTAGTTTTACTAGGAATATAGCAATAAAGGAAAGGCATAAAATAGATAAATTGCAATTTTCTGTTTAGTAATTATTTTTTTTTGTTTCAGGTAAGCATATCGTAATCGTATCCTCAAAATGTAAGTACGTCTTGTAACTCCACCACCTCCAGTTCTGTCCGTTTATAACTCTATGCCAATTCGTACTACGCATGCGCAAATTGTGGTGGATAGCGCCGACATTGCGCCGCGACGAGCACGTAGCTATCGAGACATATTTGCTGCAGACACAAACATCCGACAGCCACGCGTCCCGCTAGGGATGTGCATTTGCGCAAAACACGTCGACAATTCAACATTTTATCGAATTCAACCAATTTTTTTTATTATAATGTTTTAGTTTTTTGAAAACCTACGTTAAAAAGAAGGTTTTATTCAGCAACATTTTCAGTTTATACTGAAAACAAACAAAGTTCTCTTCTTGTTAAAATTAATTTGATTTCTTAAGTTAAAGATTTGAATTTGTCTTTTTAAAGTTTTACATTCAATTTAACTAAAACGTTACTATGGAGTACATTCCAAAATATCAAAATTTAAGAGGATACAGCGATTACCATGCTAAAACGGTACCCATCGTATTAAGTGAATGGGTTTGGATGGATCAGAAGATAAAATAATAATAAAAACTAATTGGACTGAAAGATAGAAAATATTCTCGCAAATCATACAAATTCCCAGTGTTCGCGGAAACATTTCCATTAATACCGGTATAACGGATTGTTCGACGTGCTTTAATCGGTAACTTCTCAGAATCCACTGCGAACCTGTCGGAACGGCATATCGAATATCGATATAAATACCCAGAACCGAGCGACGACTGAGTGAGCCCGTTTAATTAAACTCGATAGTGATGTCACCCGATGTGTGTCGATAAGAAAAAATTAACATACATCATGCCACTATACATTGCCGTGATGAATTATAAAAGGTAATGAATCATTTTTTAATCGAAGAATGAATGGTACACTAGATACTAGTGTTCTATTTTCATGTCGTTCATAAGAGCATGTAACAGCTTAAACTAAATAAATGAAATTGAGTTTTTCATAAGTAGAGTTAACATTTGAGCTACATTCAATATTTTAATACCTAAGTCTAAATCATATTGTGCATTATACCCACTAGTCATTATGTTATTAGCTGTAAAAGCTACAATGTTGTCAACGAAATATTTACTGTACGAAGTTTGCCATTATATATAATATATAAACACTACAAGCTGAGTTACCAGTTTAGTTTATATGTTTAGCTTTATCACTATCTAACAATACTACGGTAAGGATCAAAACAATAGGGTATTTGACAGTATTAAAAATAAAGTGCCAATTGTTAGCTGTTTACAACTGTTTCTTACAAACTTTCATACTTATATTATTAGTAAAAAGGCAACCGTTACCGATACTGGCTGATCGCTGATCTAGCAACGCACAGCTCAATCTGGACTTCACCATCACTTAACATCAGGTGGGGTGGAGTCATTTGTCGGACCTATCTATATAAAAAATAAATGAAAGTTTCCCTTGCATAGTGGTTTCATATAGATTTTAGAAGGGATGTCCTATTAATGGTAAAATGAAAGAATGAAGTTCAAATAAACAACTTATATCTATATATGTCAAACGATACATATTTATCAGAACGTGAGAAGTAATAAAGAAAACAGGGAAGAGATAGGAACGGATAGCACATGCGTCGCACATAGCTTATGTCAAAATCGCTAAGTTGGCAAATTGCTTATGTGTGTTTTCTACAGGGTGTTACAAAAATACAAATAAAGCTTGAACTGCGTTGAAATACATCATATGAGGAGTCTTCTCTAATTCGAGGATCATTTAAAATAACTGTTTTTATAAAAAGTTAAAACATCATGCAAATATTTTAAGAAAATTAGAGAAGACTCCTCATATAATGTACTTCAACGACCTTCAAGCTTTATTTGTATTTTTGTAACACCCTGCATAAAGGTTCAATTTTTCTAGTAAACAAATGAACTGGGAAGTTGTCAATGATTAATAAAATCATTTGGTACACAATAAACAAACTCTTTATTTCGAATAAAACATGTTTCTACGAAAGCAATTAATTCGAATCATATTAAATAAACATACATTTTGCTTACTCGCAAAATTAATTAAAATTCTCCCGGTTTTAATGCGTGTGTGTGTAGCTTCCACAATACCCTGTCCCAAGTGCGTGTGTGTGCATTGTTTGAATTTGAACTCAAAATCTCGTTTAAATATCGTTAACGAATAGTATTTAGTATTTTCTGTTCATTACGCTGGTTGCTGATCAATTTGGTGTGATGTCAGTAAACGCAACTGTTTTAATAGTACATTCGTTGTCTCGTTAATTAATACACAATAATGTTGCGTATATGTTCATCGATAGCTATTTATATCGATAATTATAGGCATATTTATAGTACCGCAGATTAAACATAAGTCATGAACTGAACCGAGAAGTATAAGTTACAATAAGACTACAAATTTCGATCCATTTTAAATATCTATACTATATACTTACCATACCACAAAGAGTTCAGGCGATTATGAGTTATATGTGAAATCAGTCTCACTATGTACGTCTGCGAAACTGAGCTCTTAAAAATTTAATCCAATTTCTTATAATTTAAACCCGTGTATCACAATAAATGTGAAAATGTGATTCTTATAATATAAATAATTATCTTCCTAATTGTCTTCAAAACTAACTGAAAAATTACATGGAAATTATGCTACACTAGCGACCGCCCGCGACTTCGTCCGCGTAAAACTAAGATTTCGGAAAATCCCTTTAGAAACCTAACCTTTTTCCGGTATAAAAAGTATCCTATGTTTCATTTCAACTGTATTTGTACCAAATTTATTAAGTAACAAACACACTAAATCACCAACTTTCACATTTATGATATTATTAAGTAGCATTGTTTTTTTTTAAATTAACCCTTGCTGTTATAAGTTTAACTGTAGCTCCTGTTTATGTCCATACGTATAGTGATGATTGAAGAACATCTCCACATTTAAGCTGCTCCCCGTCGCATTCACGACGTGTATGATTTACAACGCGACAGAAGTCGGTTTTATTGACCGGCCGTCATTCCCGACACTGGCCATATGGCGGTTCCAATGTTCCTCAACTCCCGATCTGAAACATTAATAAAGCCAGACTGGCTGAGATTAAAAATAAACAACGCTGGCTGCCGCGATCGGAAACACTCCGCCGAGAAATGTAATTAATATTGACGTGCTTCTGTATTTTCAGTGTTAAAACTTTTGATAGCGCCGACGTCATTCTTCGTTATCGAGTTCTTTGTTAAGTCAAAATATGTACAATTAAATAACTTATACAATAAAATCATGCTGTCATATTAAAAGTGTCGTATAAAGAGTTAAATAGAGTCCTAAATTTCAGCAGTATCATTTCATCTGTATCTCTCCAACCATTACAAGCACGTCAACAGATAATAAATTGTCGAATTACGAGTGACAGCGCTCCGCCCGAGCCCGCGCCCGCCCCACTCGCTAGCGACTCGGTTCGTTGCAATAATCGCGTTGCCAATGCAAGCGGCGCGCGGCAAATCTCATTTTTATTAGGGAAGTAATGTGGAAAGAGTGGAAATGACACTGCACCACCGACCTCCGACCCCCGGCGTTTATACAGGTGTCTGCTCGCCACAACAATGGAACAAGGAACCCTATGGTGTTGACTTTACAGTGCATTGTTGATTGCGTGCGATAGACGGGAGCGCGCGTGCGCGGTTAGACAGACGCTTGTGATATTGTAACGTCAGTCGAGCGAAGGTGGCGACACCGCGCGGGCGCCTGTTACAAACCGGACGATGCACGTGCATTAAAGTAGTGATGTGCCGTGCGGAAGTGTCGATTGTTTCTCCGACGCCGATGTCGATGTTTTGCAGTTGTGGTGATGTGCTTCCGTAACTAGTGCAGTGTTGTGGATGTGCCACTCTATATTATTATGGATTACACGTGTGGTGAATATAGTTTTTTTTTTTAACTATTTGACAGTATTAAATTTTTTTTTTATAAAAACTCACGCAGATATCCTAACGGCGGCATTGTTTGTAAACAGCGTAATCGGCATAAGTCAAATTACTTAACATTGTAACGCGAGCGTGACGATCCGACAGAAGCACATAATTCGTTCTAATTATACCGCTTTAAATCCCGTCTACGTTACGTCTCCATTAACTCGAGTTATCCGCGCGAACCCTCTGTATTAGGGCTGTCGCGCATCACATAACTGCAATTTTATTTTTTTAACGCTTCACAAGATTCTCTATTCTCTTTATCTTCATATTATTATAAAATTGTCGTGATATTGTTCATTTTTAGCATTGAGGAATGAAGAATAACCCGTGCATTAACCCGTGAAAAACTAGTTTTATTTAATGAAGAATAATTGAATCTTTAACATTTTTATTATGCAACACAGTTTATTTTAATAATTGTACAGACAACGCATACATTTTAAATCGAGGAAAGATACAGCTAGAAATCTGTTAAAATTTTGCAGTTTTATTGAATTTGATTTGTGGCTAGCTGTCCATATAAATCATGACGGAAAGAGACGTAGGTTTTGCAACAGCCCTACGTCGTCCCACCTCTCGGGTGCTTGTTTGTAAATACGCCGCTTCACAGGCGAGCGCGCGCGCCCGTTGGCGGGATAATTAGTGGAGTTACAGCCCCCCCTCCCCCCACGAGTTGCTTGCGATGGCCCGCGTTCCAGCGTTCGACGACTACTGAACAGTGTGACCAGATTAAATTTTACGAAAATACCGAGTCACCTCAAAGAAATACTGAAATATACCGACTTACATAGGACAGATATACCAATAAAAATACTGATTTTCTTAACACGTTTCATTTATTCATACTCACAATAAATGTTAGAGTTATATTTTAACATCCTTTTCGAAGGATTAAAATTTACACAAACTCCTTCATCCTTAACACCTTGCTTTGTTTTTAAAATAGCTGATACATTTTTGTTTATAAATCTGTTTCTTTGGTCCGTTTTTATTAAATTTATCTGTGAAAATATCGCGTTCCAGGGAATTCCGCAAACATTGTCGCAAAGACGATCACTCACTACGGTGTTGCCATAACTTCTACCAAAGTATACCCAAAAATACTGACTGCCAGCAAAATATACTTGAAAATATACTGATGTTCGGAAAAATTGATGAAATATACTGAAAAAGTATTAAAATACTGAATCTGGTCACACTGCTACTGAAGAT